CAACCCAGGCTTCCTCGTCGGCTTCGTCTTGTTGTAACCGGCTGCTCGAAGGACTCTCCATACGGTGGACGACGAGACGTTGTAGCCGTGAACACTAAGATCACCAGCAATATCAGCGCAGCTCTTCTCTCTCCCATACCTATCGCGGCGTACGTTCTTAAGAGTAGCGTCGTGTATTTCTTCTTGTTTACGAGGGCGGCCTGCGCGCGGGGCATCTTCGAGGTACTGCGGAAGGATCTTAATTAGGCGTGCGTTAGGCTCAAAGCCTCGCTGGCAGGCTCTACCATAAATTGAGTCGATCGTACGCGGCGATATGCCTGTCATTTCTGCGATTTCGCGTGTAGATTTGCCACCAAAAGGTGACTTCAATGCAACAATAAAAGAGCGGGTCGATATATCCGTATTTTGAGCCATGGTAGATCAAAAACACTCAAAAAAAATGAGTATACAAGCTATCGCCAGCTTCAAAAAATTGGTGTGGGCGCAAAGAATAGTCGGGCCGATAGGCTGGCGGCTTAGCGTGGCGCTAGCAAGAACTTTTGACAGTCACCTCCGTACATACAGACATATACACGTTCGCGCGGCGCCCTTGTGCGGCGAGAGGCCGAGGCGTGCGCCGGGCCTGACGATGGGGGCGTTGAGAGGCCGGGCGTCCCATGCGTGGCAGCTGTCGAGAGACGGCATGTGGTGGTGGCCATGGGCGAGCGTGCACGCCAAAGCCGTTGCAAGAGCGTTGCAAGAGCGTGGTGGGGACGGCATGGCGGGCGAGGCTCCCCTGCTAGTGGCTGCCTTGCATGAATCTTGGAAGACGTTGGGCGTGGACGTCGCATAAGCCGACGCCATCAAAGCCACACGCGGCCAGCCTTTCCGCCTGCGCATTCACCCATACACACACGCCCATTGTGTGTCTCTCTCTCCCTCTCTCTCTCCCGTTCTCTCTCCTCGGTCGCCGCCCCGCCAGCGCTTACCCCGTCGCTTACCCCATCGCTGTTAGCACCACCGCCCCTCCTGCATGCCCTCGTCGACCCGCGCCTACTACCACCACTACCACCACCGCCACCACGGCTACACCACGCCCGCAGCCTGGCCCTCTCCTCATCTCTCTCCCAACTCCAGCCACCCCCATCATCTGATCTCCACCCACGCGTCAAGTTTCCCTTTTGCCGCTACCCGGTGATGGTGTGTTTCGGCGCCCGGCCTCGCTGAGAGGCACGACAAGACCCTCCAACTCCCCCCTCCCCCCCCCCCCCCAAAAAAAAAGAATCGCCGCGCCCCTCCACTTTCTCCTCCCCCAATTCAGCCTACTCCGGCCGTCCAGCCCCGTTTCTCGCCGTCGCGTAAGGAAATCCAAAAAAAATCGAGGCTACGCGACATTGGCCGTGCGGCACAGACAAAACACAGCCATGGCGCCCACGGGCTCGAGCATGTTCTCCAAGCTCCGCCACGGCCACGCGAAGCGCAATGCCTCGACGCTCGCCTCTCCAGAGCCCGTCCCAAGCCCCACTCCTTACCCACTCCCCTCGCCAGCGTCGCATAGCACAGAGTACTTGTCGTCGCCGCGCCTCCATGATAATGTCAGCTTCACTTCTGGCTCGCCCATCTCGCCCTATCCCCCCAAGCTGCCGCCCATTGCCCGCGTCGCCTCCAAGCTCGACAGGTTGGCCCCGCCGAGCTCCTCGTCGCATCCGCACATGCCTGAGCCCCAGAGACATGACGAAAAGCCGCTCTCTGCGCGCTCCAACAGAGGAAGCATGCCTCCGCCGTCCGAGACCCCCTCGCATTCATCCACTCACCTGGGCTCCTCTGTCATTTCTCCCACCTACTCGCTATACTCAAAGTCGCAACCTTCGCTGCTGAGCGGCATCAGCGACAAGCTGACTGGTCACTCCAAAGGAACATCAACTCCCACGGCCCCGCCCCAAAAGTCAAAGTCCCGCCTCACCCTGCGGAATCCAATGTCGCTCCTCATGCGGCGCAAGTCTGCCCAGACACTGGACCCCCTTTCAGACGAATCGCTCGTCACCCAGCGCTCGCCCTCCAACCTGCCACCCATGCCAGATAACTACGACCCCAGCATCCGCGGGAAAATCGTGCACGACTTCAATGCGCCGAGGCTAAACAGAGGCTACTCGTACAATACATCGTCTGAAGGAGGCGAGGTCCAGCCTGAAGTGGCTCGTGCCAGTCCGCCCAAGATAGAGAAAGAGCACACGCCCGTGTTCCGTGAGCATTTTGATGATGATATAAGCTACGAGCAGTCACAGGCCGCAATACGAGCAGAACAGCTAGCAAACAAGGACTTCTTAGCAAGAAACTCGGTACAGTTTCCTCCGGACCAGTCATCTTTGGTTCCGCTGCCTCCTAGAAAGTCGCCGCTCCCACCGCCGCCGCCGAAATCATCGCCGCCGCCTCGGCCATTCCAGGCAGTTGATGGCGGGAATTCAATCCTGTCGCCAGTACAAGAGTCGGATGATCCACTGGATGTTTCTACCGACGTCACGCCGCGGAAGAAGAAATCAACAAAAGCAACGCCTCCGCCTGCACGGTCTCGAGCCACTTCCGTCACCGACCCCTCTTTCCAGCCAGCCGGACTGCCTGCGCATTTCAGCAGCAGGGCGTCAAGGTTCAGTTTTCAAATTTCGGGAGGCACTGATTCTGCGCAGGAAAAGCTGCTGGAGGAGCGACACAAGGCAAAAGAGGCGGAGAAGAAGCAGGCGCGCATGTCTACTCACTCCATCGACGATGGATACGACGAGTACGGCATGGATGACTACGACGACATGGATGGCGGCTTTGACGAAGAAATCCCAATGCTTGGTGAAGAGGACGAATATACCGGTGGCCTGGGCAACCAGACGCTCGACTCTGGCATAAACAATCTCGACTTTTCGTCTTTGTCGTTACAGCAAGGCATGCACAACCCAATGAATTATGCGCTTGGTCAGATGCAGATACCTGTCGACATGAATGGTAACCCGATTGCATTCGCCCTGCCAGGGCAAATGTTCCAGCAGTACCCGATACCAGGTATTGGTAATCCGATTAATCAGCAGAATGAAACAGATGCCAAGACACACGGACTGGGCTTGAATCATGCTCAAGGAGAGGTTAACGGCTCTGCGCCCGTCAAGCCTGCCGACGCACCCGCCGAGGCCGCCCCTGCTACCAACAAGCCGGTACCGAGTAATGTTGACCTTGACGACGACTTGTACTTTGACGACGGCCTCATTGGCGACCAAGAAGATGTGGAACCAACCGAATTCGACGAAAGTGTCTTTGATGACCCCGACGGGCCACTCTTTGAGAGAAAAGTCAAATTTCCCGCAGACGGACAGCCTCGCCCGTACGATGTCTCCAACTCCGAGACTGGCTACGACGCGGACGATGATACGGTTTCCAGACATCTCATCAAGTCTCAGCCTTCTCTTGCGCACAAGACTTCTATCGCGCAGCAAATGCCCGTGCCCAGCTTTGAGAATCTCAGCGCCTACCATAGTGCACTCGCAGATGCCGCAATCCGCGCCGAGGCTGCTGGCCGGTTTGACAGAAAGGCGAGCGTCGACGCGGGTCAGCCTCCGTCTGACACTGACGATCCCTCTTCTGTTAGTCAATCAAGGCCCAGCTTGGTGCCTGATGACGGCCGCTTCAGCATGGACACGATCAGCTTCCCGCAGGACGACGATATATACGGCATGAGCTCCAGCTTTGTAGACGACTATGACTACAGCGACTTTGACTCGGCCCTCGAAGACGATCCCATTATCGCTGCAGCAAACGCTGAGGCGCTGGCATATGACGACGAAGGCTTCTATGGCCAAGAGTTTGGTTTTTATGCATCTGCCGTTGGCGAATCTCCGAGTGCTTGGGGTGGCTTCTTTGGCCCATCCGGGCTTGGTCGAACCGTCAGTGGACGCAACGCTGTCAGGGAACCCAACTTGACGCCCATTACGGAGCGAAGCGAATACAGCACGCGCAACTCATTCATCAGTCTGAACCAGTTCCGGGATGGTCAGCCATCCATCACCAGTCCTGCGCTAGCACAGCTCGCCCGTATGAGTCCGTATGGCTTCCCTGGAGAAGATGAAGACATGAGTATGGATACGTTGATGAGGCTGCGCAAGGGAGCTTTCGGTGGTAGCGGTGCTAGTCTACCGGGCAGCACGGCTAACAGTCCGCGCACCTCGTCGCCTCTGGGCATGCAATTCGTTCCTCGTTCCTCGAGCCCTGTAGGCAACCGCATGAAGGAGCACTCGTCCAGCCCTGTGGAGAGCCCATCTTTTCCCACGACTACCATACCAGAGTATCCGGATAATCACTACGGCGACGAGGAGGAAGGCGACTCAGGACTCATGGATGCTGTTAATGGCGGGTACGAGTCTGATCGCTTCAGTGAAGACAATGTCGACTTTGGCGAACGCGTGGAGAACCCCACAACAAGCAATGATCACCACAGCCTCCCGAGTCCAACTGGGCATGGCATTGCCAATGAAGCGCCACTCCTGCCACCAATGTCGGAACTTTTCTTGAGCTATGCCATGTCACCAGGTGGTTTGTCTGTTCCATCACCCTCTAACGTGTCGCTCCCTATGTCGCCCTTTCCAATGCCGTTGCCGTCGCCATTTCTAAGTCAGAACCACAACCGCCCGCCTGCTCCACCATCCATTGATACTTCTCTTTCCTCGCCAACTGCACCGAGCAACTCCACACCTGGCGTAGGGCGGAGACAAAGCGTGGTCCTTAGTCCCGTCTCGACCTCGTCTCCAATCACTCCGAGTGGCAGTGGCAGCGCCGGCGGATGGAATCGTGCACACAGCAGAAAAGGCAGTGCAGCGGACAGCGTGACATATGTTCGTGAACACGATGAAGCTGGCGAAGGAAGATGGGTTCTGGAACGCAGACGCACTGCTGAAAGCGGTGAATTGGAACTAGTCGGCAGGCAGATTGTCGAAGGCGGACGCATCTAACATTCTTATCGGCGAAGCATTATTACCGGCTCTCCTTTCCAGGAAGAAGGAGAAAGAGTCGAGACTGGAGGTTTGTTCGTCATCCAATTTGCATTTGCAAGGCGTTTTTTTACTCTAGGCAGCCTGGAGGCCTCGGGGCCTCTGCGGGATGGCTGCATAATACGTGTACATGATGGGCACCGGAGAAATGCATACAGTACAGGACTTTCTGGCCCAAGGAAGGGGGGAGATAACAAAGGAAGAGGCTGGTCCTTCTTTTACGGAGAGGCGTGGGATGACGCACATTACGAATACGAGAGATACCTTTTTGTTTGTTGTTCACAAGCATCATCTTTTGCATGCCCCTGTTAGAGGGCTTAGATGTACCCAGTCTTTTTTTTTCAGCGGCTGATTTTTTTTGTTCCGGGTTTGCTTTCACCGTATACAATTAGGCTTGAAGTTGGACTTGGAAATCTACATATATAATAATATATACTCGGATCAAACTGCCATCAGAGCCTTCTCATGCTCGTCACTCGCTTCATATCTGGAACTTCCATCTCGGATCCCCATCTCCCAGCGCCAGCGAATCTTCGTCGTCCCCATGACCATGTCGTCGTGCCTCATCCGCCAACACCCTTTCTTTCTGCGCATTCTCCCTCAAAAGCACCACCCACAGCACGCTCACGACCCCGAGATTCGCAGCCAAATACCCCAGCGCAACCGAATGCCCCACGATGTACCGCGGCCCGTCGCCCGCGCGATACAACTGCGTTCCCATGACGGCGCCCAGATTCCCAATGCTAATCTGCAGCGCATTCGCCGTCGCGCGCTTCGTCTGCGCACTCACATTGACCGCCGGCCAGCACAGCACGAGCGCCACGGACGGATAAATCCCCACTGCCGCCAACACGGTGCCCGCGTACGACAAGCCCGGACGCGTTCTCGGCGCCGTGTTCGCGAGCAGGATGACATAGCCGGTTATCGCGAGCGACGTCGTGCCCAGGATGAAGGGCGCGCGGAGCCGCGCGCGCGACGACAGAATCGCAATCATGAGCGTTAGAAGCGTGGCCGCGGCGTACGGCGGGATCGTGAGAAGTTGCGATTGCGCAGATGTGTAGCCCATGTCGCGGATTATGGTTGGCTGTCAAATGTATTAGTCCGGGGGGGAATGGAGTAGGTAGTTCGTATGTCAGAAGAAGAAGAAGAAAAGGTGAATGTGTACGTAAGTAGATAGGTATGTATGTATGTAAGTATACCGAGAAAGGAAGAAAGAGGAGAAGAAGAAGAAGAAGAAGAAGAAAAAAGGGACATACCAGAAACAAAGACAGCGTATACAGCGGCAAACTCATGGTATGAAATGCAAAGGCATAAAGCCACACTTTGACATCTTGCACCGCGAGCCCGACTTCAGACCATGAAAACGCCTCGTCGTTGGTGGCGTCGCTGTCGCTTTTCAGTCGCGTGTGGATCACGCTGCGTTCAGAGGGCGTGAGCCACGGCGCGCTGTTGGGGTAGTTGGGGATGAAGGCGTAGGCGGCGGTCCCGATGAGGACTGTGGCGAGCCCTTCCTTTTTGGTGTAAACCGTGTTAGTATCTGGTTGATTGTCGTGTAGATAGGTAGGTAGCGAAGGGATGGGTTTCGTACGAGAATAAAGATCCAGCGCCAACCGGCGTAGCCTCCGACGTTGTGCATGTGGGCGATGCCCCAGGCGAGTATCTTTGTCGGCAGTGTTAGTAGATCTAGTATTTCAAATAGCGGATTTGAACTTACGCCGCCAAAAGCTCCCGCGAGAGAGGCACAGCTGAAGAAGAGCGAGATGCGGTATTGTCGCTCATTGCGCTTGTACCACATACTCAGATAGTACACGACGCCTGGGAAGAGGCCGGACTCTGTGAGTCCAAGACTAGACGAGCAGGGTTAGTTGTTTAACCTTTTCTCTTTCTCTCTTCTGTATCCTGTATCCTACTCATCATCTCTTTTCCCGAAAAATGACTCAACAACGGTCTATTTACCCAGTGATACTTCTCTGAAAAAATAGGAAAAGCAGTGTTAAGTACTACTGTACTTACAAAAACCGCACCACGAAGAAGCCAGCGAGATTCTGCGTTACGCCCATCAGCGTCGCGACAATACCCCATGCAATCGTCAGGGTGGGTAGCCAGAATTTCGGCGTCGTTCGCTTGAGCACAATGTTGCATGGTATCTCGAACAAGACGTAGCCGATGAAGTAGAGAGTCAGGCCCGTGAGGTATTGGTTCCCCGTCATGTGCAGGTCGGTTGTGAGGCCCTCGATGCGTGCGTTGGCGACTATTTTTGCTGGTTAGCTTCTCATTTCACCTTCTTATGTATTATCTAATCAGAGAAAGAGAGGAGGGAGGCTGTTGTACCATTGCTGCGGTCGAGAAACGAGAGGAGATAGAGGATTGAGACTGCAGGCAGAAGTTTCCAATCGAGTTTTCGCAGGAGTTTCTTTTCATCCACGGAATTAACGGCAATCTCGGCGTCGGATTCGCTGGTGCTGGAGTCTGGGACTGCCGTAGACTTTTCCTCCGCCATGGTGTGTCGATGGTCACTTCATACGAACAGCATCTTGTTCTAGCTGCGCAGCGCGACAGACTCTCTATTTATCCCCGTGCAATATACCCTTTCTGACCCACAATTTCTCCAATGATGCAAGAACGTGGCTTGAGCAGCGTAGGACCTCGGGTTATCTTGGCCGCAGGAGCTTGTGCAAGCATGGGGGTGTAATAGCGAGCTGTCATTGGGGAGCGCGACCAATGTCAACGTTGAAGCGACACTGGCGGCAGATATGGTCCAATGAGTTTTTGGACATCCTGGAAAGACTTTGCATGGGTTGTTGATGCTCGGTCAGAATACGAAATCGAGGGGTGGGATGTCGTGATTGTGTATCCGTTTGGTGCTAGCCGCGAAGAGTAAGAGGCTGAACATCATTGCTGGGAAGCAGTTATGTTGACGTCTAGAACTTGCAGACACAAATGTGATGAGACAGATAGAGAACCTGGATTTTATGACATTTGGATTTGCTGAATTCGGTGGTTTGGTTTTCTACAATATTTTTTAGGGCTGTGCGGCGAGTAAAAAGCTGTTGTGATTGAACGCCGATAAGTAAGGGATAAACACATCTGATAGCATCAGCAGCTGTCTTGTCCAAGGCGGTAATATGGTGAGACATTTACATGCAGCAATCGGTCGCATCTGCATATTTCAAAAAGACAGACCAAGACGCTCATGTGGATACTAGCAATCTAGCTTATTTGCAGCGCATACAGACTGCTTGAGCTACCTTTGAACGCTGCACCATCTTTGCTATCCCTATTAAGCCATCGTCAACGTTGGTCACCCTCTAAAAATTCATTCATCAGCACTAAAGTACATCAAAACAACATTGCTCGGTTTACATCCTTGGTCGAATCCACAGTTGATACCCGTGGAGGCGTTGCCATATGTGAAAGACGTGTAGAGTATTGGCTGTCTGATGATGCCGAATAATCTAAAAAGCAGCACAAACAGACAATCAATTTTCCATAACTTTCTAGCTGGAATACTAACCCATAGCTGAAGACACAAACAGTGTAACGAGCTTTCTAAAGACCCCACGCTTCGACAAGTAAAAACAAATGAAGCCTAGGAATGTACAGGGTTTGAGCAGCTCTGTCAGCAGAGCATGGTATTCCGAGAGAAAATACTGTGTATCTTAGGTATCAGTACACTGCTGGCCTGAGAATTCTCGTAGTTTGTCCTCATGTTGTTTGGTCAAGCAGTTGGGCTAGGTGGGGACACAGAAAATACGAGCTCCTTCGTATACTACATGCGGAAGGTACAGATCGCCTAAAACATCAAGAATCGAGCCGCGAAGCGCATGATACAGGTGCATAACGCGCGCCGCTAGTTGCGAAGGCGCTGAGCATAGAATTATCTTTTTCTTCTGCCCGATTCGGCGGCCATGGTGAGTGTGGATTAGTGGTGAAGTAGAATTCGGTAGGGTTCGTAGCCTTGCCCGATGGGGCATAGCGCCTCGACAGAAAACCGCGCTCTTACCTCACAGGCTGTTTTTACCACAACCAGTACCGCACTATTCTCATTCTCACCACCATTTTGTTACTTGCTTTTGGTTTCTGTATCGTGTGCGGTATCTAATGTCTAATTGTTAATTTCTAATAACTTTTGATCTGTATTGTGCAGTGCCTCCCGCCTACACCAAGTAGAGCGCCCCCACCGATCGCATTGCGCGGTCGTCGTTGAAAGTCGCGGCACCGCGAGGTCCAGCCCGACACGCAACCTGCCAAATGCGGCAAAATAAATCTACCGAACGGAATTTACAAATCGATCGAGCTCCGCTGCTCATCGACTGACCCGAGGTCTATCGAAAAACCCCCGTCAACTTCATGCCGCATATAAGCTCACGAGAGTGATATGACCTTGGCATCAACCTTGAACAGGACCGACGGTCCCCGCCGTTCGACAGACCAGGATGCCGGCACAACCGAGTGTCCTTGTCCTCCTCGACAGCACCCCAACCCACCACTTGTTCTGCTTCTTCTTTGGCTTCTTTGCATTGTGCCGTTGCAAACATCCAGCCGCTAGAACACGAGCGCGCAATCAATCAGCACCGACGCCATGCCTCTTCACCTAACCCGTCGGCTTTACTTGTATCAGTTCTCGCAGATAAAGTGGAAGATGCTCGTGAGACAATCAACAACACCCATCAGGATTTCGATCATCCTGCGTCCAGCACGACAAAGCATGAAAGGGTTCCGCCGCCTGACACCCCTTCCAAAAAGCGTCAAACTGGTGAGAACGAGTCGAAGCATCTGCCACCCAAGTCACCAGAGCTTTCTCGCGCCTCCTCCACTTCTACAGGTTTTGCCGCCAAGGAGAGCAATTCTACACACACCATGGTAAACACTGCACCGGAACGTCCTCTTCCCGCTTCACCAGGTCCGCCTCACAAGACGTTTGTTCCTGGTCATCGTCGCAAGTATTCTTGTGGCGGCTGTGCACAGAGTCTTCCTGCCAACAAAACCAAAGGCGACTGCTTCAATGACAAGGTCTACAAGGGCAAGAGCTGTGTCCGCTGCAAAGGCAAGGCTTGCCGTCCGCTAATCCCAGAGGCACGTTCTCCTACTCTCCGTTTGCAGCGCGAGCTTCGAAAAAAGAAGGACCATCAGAACGAGGGATACATGGAGTTTCTTCGCAGCCAGATTCGCAGTATCCTACCACCCAACCGGAAGGACGTGCCAGGCATCATAGAGGCACGGGTAAAGGCGGGCGATTTCAAGGACCTCACTGACGGGACGTGTCCGCTGAGGATGAGGATGAGTGAGTGGACGAGTCTGACTCCGACACAGAAGCTCACGACAAGACCAATGCTTCCGCCGTTCCTGGTACGGGTGTTTCCACCCCCACTCGTCCGCCCTCTATGTGATCAAGACTGGCCCCTTCAAGCTCTTGGAACGCATTGCCAAGAACGCGTTCAGGCGGGACTGTCTCGAGATAGTCGACGCATGGGAACAGTGTTAGGCAACCCACGCCGGATGCGTTCCCTGGCGAAGACTACCTAGGGACAGTCACTGCTAAGACAACATTCCGACACCACTACGCGATCGGGCACAATAACAATCTACAATTACGTCACAACAAAAAATTTACTGCCTTCACTCTCACGGTGAAGGCAGGTGGCTAGGCAACCGAGAGCGAGACTCGGAAGGAGCAAACAACGCCACTACAAAACTCTCGCCTTCCCCCACCCAACCACCTCTCCACCTTCTCACCCCGCTCTCTCTACTCCCCAGCAAGTACGCACTGCTATACACCTTGTCAAAGCAATTACTTCTTCACGCCCCTACCCCAATTCATTCCACCCACAACGTCATCATCATCATGAACCTCGACACCTTTGAGGCACACGTCGGCAAGGACGACGAAGGTGACATCCGAGAAGAAGATGTCGGCAAGGCAATGCCATCCAAGTTCCACCAACGCGAGCACATTGCCATGGTTTCCTACATCATCCCCAAGAACACTGAGGGATTGATCACTGCCACAGAGATCCATGCTCCCGACCTCAACGTTGCCCCCTTGCTGTCAAATCGCAACGACCTCGAGCTCATCAAGAAGGCCAAGCCATTCATCTCCCCAAGGGGCAGGGCGATGGTGAAGGTCAAGCCCAAGCATGATGAGGAGATGTCGAAGCGCACCAGGAGACGTCGGAGGCAGCGTATAGCGAACGGCACCCAGCTGACACTGCCTGATGGCCCACCTGCTCAAAATACCGTGGAGTTGTTGTTCAACAGTGGCGTCACACTCCCCGAGGAGCTGAGGGACAACATCAAGGACACGACTGACACTGCCAAAGAGAAGGGAATCCCAGTATGGGAGCACCTACTCGACACGCTTGATGTGACAGTTGGTCGTCGTCCCCGCGCCAAGTCTCTCACCACATACCGCACCACCGATATGCAAGGCTTCGACCGCGAAGAGGTCAGCGCGAGTCTGCGAACTACCGCGAAGCAGCACGTCGCCGACGCAAAGCAAGAGCTCGCCAAGGTCTTCTACCCGAACGGAGACCAAATCATGATCGAGCTTCACAAGTTCCTCGCCTCCCGCCCCCATTGCCGCGATGAGAACGGTCAACTGCTTCCCGCCAAGATCAAGGAGTTCCGCGACTGGCTCGTGTACAGCCGAAAGATGCTGACCTCCGTCAAGAAGGTTGAAGATGTGATATGCCAAGAGCACCTGGTCGTGTCTACAGGTCTTATACCAGTTACTCCGCTGCGCCTGATCGAAGAAGATCTAGAGAAGCTCAGGCCCCAGGAAGACAAGGAGCCTCACGACGACGACATGACTCCGAAACAGCGCCTTGAGAAGCGCAACCGCCGTCTGGCAGAGAAGGCCGACGCTTTCCGCCGCATCGCGCGCCCCATCGAGAACGTCCACCAGAAGCCCGCCATAGCCGAGAAGCGCGAGCAAAACGAGGATAACTACGCCCGATTGCAGATCACTGTAAACCCCAACGTCCAATCACACATGGCCATCCGCCACACTGTCAACTACCGCGACGAAGCAGTGCCCGAAGCGCAGCCATGCCACAAATCACGCATCGAACTCACCTACCTCAACACCTGCGGCCCCCGCGACGACGACATGGAAGAGACACAATACGCCACCACTCACCGAGTGGTTGATGTCTCAGATAAGGCATGGCAGTCATCACTGGAAAAGATCTTCCCACAAACGACAAAGGTTAAAGACTACTACCGAAACCTGTATGGATCGATCCAGGTTTCCGGATCCCGACTGTACCTCGTCACTATCAAGTTGAACGGAATGGACAGCACAACCAACCTCCTCACCGAGAACCGGGATGTTCCCCCTCTGGTCAAGGACCTCCGCATCGTCGCAAAGATACCCACAATGGTATTCATGCTCCTCCGCAACATCTCACTGCCCAGCCAGATCGAAGGCCTGGTCCAAGAGTTCAAGAAGCTGTGTCGATACGACCCTTTGAACGACTTTTTTGTGGATCCATACAACCCCTCCCTTACCCATACTTGAGTCAAGCCCAAGATGGAGCTCCCCAAGTTCACGGCAATTCCACAGATTCAGTACGAGAGTTGGAATGACTGCAAGCGACAGACTGGCCTCGCCGCGCTCATCGAACAGCGCTCCTCGGTGGAAGACCACCACTACACTGCCAAAGCCGCAATGGTCCCAGTACCTGCCACGCAGAAAAAAGACGCAAAAGTTTTCATGGCATACCACATCCAAGCTGTGATCGAGCGAGATCAAACAAAGCCCCGTCTGATGCCCGGCGATCCCGTCATGATCGACCTGCACCCTGACTCTGAGAACTCGTCGGATGAGAATGCATGGCACGGCAAGGTCACCCACCCAACGGGGGCCACACCAATGGGGATGACCAACATTGTCATCGAGCGTCCCTGCAAGGACGAAAGAATCGTCGACCTGAAAGAGTACAGCACTCTGACAGCGTCCCATCTGGAAAGAATAACGACCGCGGAGCTCGTCAAGTGGACACGTGCCAATTGCAACCGGAAGATCATAATATCTACCCGAAAGAATGAGAAGGAGTGCAAGCGCATCATGAACAACATTGCGAAGATGGAAATCCCTGGAAAACTGAAGGAGATCTACACTGAGAAGGAGCGACGACTGAGCGCCGCTCGAAACCTCTTCCTATGCAAAGACCACACGCAGTCCGAGGCCACTCCATTGTACCACAGGCTCGGGGAAGAATTCCGCGAGCAAGTCATAGGCTACATCAGACCGCTCCTCCGATCACATCAGCTGGACCAGTTCAACGAGTGGTTGTGCAAGGGAACCAAGGACAATACCCTATGGATCAACGGCCCGTCTGGCTCCGGCAAGACATACCTAGCCATCCTTACCATGCTGCCGTACATGGGCAGAATCGCGGTTCCCGAGAACATCGTCAACACCATGCGACACGAGAAGAAGGCCAAGGAAGAAGCTAAGGCCGCCGATGCTGTGAAGCCGGACACCAATGAGCCCGCCGGCAAGGGCAAGGGCAAGAAGATCGAGGTAGACAATCCCGAGCCGCAAAAGTCCAACGAGATGGTCGTCGAGCGCGGTCGCATCACCATCGCCGCAATGCAAAACGAGACAGTCGATTCGCAATACGAGCTCTGCTGTCCCATGGCGATGGAGTTTGCTAAGGCGACAGGTCTGCCTTGCCCGCTAGTACTCCGCCTACACAGCAAGGAGTCGGAACTGAGCGCTGTCCAAGCCATGACCCACCCAACATACAATCCCAACGGCAAGAGCACTCGGTTCAGCGTCGACCCCAATACGAATCTCACGAACTCTACCCTACGTTCACTGCTCGCCGCTTACATCGCCGCATTCACTGGTGGCAGCCCCGGCATCGCTGACCTCCGCCTCAAGCGCTTGGAGGGTGCGGCAGCTACTTACATCATGGAGATGGCAAATTTCCCTGAGTTTCCCGCTTCTCCTGAGCTGCGCGCTGCCTTTTCGCCTTCAGAGCGCGACATCTGGGCAAAGGAGCTTAGGATAATCGTTAGTGCATACCGAGATCTCTGCAGCAGCGAGGATACCATCGACCTCGAGACAAAGGCCAAGATCAAAGAGGTGACCAAGCTCGCCCTGGACGCATTGATCGAGCGAGCTTCCATCATCTGCACAACTGTGTCGGTCGCCACACACCCATCGTTCAACATGATACGCCGCGCACACGCCGTCGCCTTGGAAGAAGCCGGTCGAGCCAACGACGCAGAGACCATGGGGTTCTTCTCTCACTACTGGAATGTCGATTTACGCTTGTTCTCCGGTGCGACAAACCAACTGAAGCCCATGGCTTTTAGTGACTCCAAACTGAACCCGTTCCACAAGACCGCTCAGATTTCCACCGCCGGTCGCATCGAATCAACCGGGGGTAGCATTAGCCGCCTAAACGCATCCTCGCGCTTCAAGAACTAGGAACTGTTCGACCTGTGCGCAACGGTCAATGAGATGCCGAACATGGTACCCATCGAAAATTCCTTTGACAACAAGCTGTCAAAGGAGTATGCCGACATCAACAAACGCATTTGGGGCATTAACAACAACCTGATCTTCGTCAACACGCGAACGGTCAGACCCTAGAAGGATGCAAATGGCTCGACCTACTGCGCCGAGACGGCTGCTGTCGCTATGAAAGACGCAGTGGAGCGCATGAAGTACATTGAAGGCGAGAAGCATGCCATTATCACGCCATACATTGCGCAAGTCAACCTCCTCCTCCGCCAGCGCGACTATGCAGCACAAGCCGCCGCAGCCATCCGCCACGAAGAACTTGCGAAGCAACTCATGAACATCGAAATTACTACTATCGATTGTTTCATGGGCAAAGACAAGTTTTCTGTTACTGTTGATACCACGGGAGTAATCGGTCACCTGTTCCAACACGGCCGCATCGTCGTCGCAGCCACCCGAGCCCGCGTTTCGAAAGTGTTCATCGGACCAACACTCGAGTTCACATCACCAGTGTCTAAGCTTAAGGCGGACCACCCCATCGCCAAGGTCGTTCGGCAGTTGAACAAGACCAAGCGCATCAAGGCCATGTCCATCGGCGAGATTGAAGCCCTCGAACAGTACCACAAGGTACTGCACTAGTCTGCTTTGGTAGCCTACTGCCACCAATGCCTATCATCACCATCGCGGCTGCCGATTACTATGGAGGCGGTGCACAGGGTCATGGCAAGCCTTTTGCTTACTAGGATCCACTTCCTGGCCTGGAAAATAAACAATTACTTAGACACAGTATGTAGCATCAATGAATCAACATCTCTTAGAAACTTCAGGTCATATGCAGAAGATAGTGTGATAAGAAGAAGGTATCCTCTTGAGCTGGAGCTCAAGAGGACTCTGGTGAGTGGTACAACTCTATCTACTAAGAAGACATCATAATTCTACATTCCGCACCCGCACACTATAGCTATTACTGAACACAGTGGCAAAGCGTCCAATGGGTGCGCGACAGAATACAGACATATGTGTGAATGTTTGATACATGTGCATGCCCACGTGATGCGATGGTCCGTATGTATGACAGGTACACATCGAAGACGGCCATAGACGGGAGAGCTTTTCCAACCCGGCGCATAGACTCTTGGCATAAGGACTGCAAATCGTCGTGTTCCCCTTGTCGGGCGGCACACGTACTTCGTGCCTTGACTGCTTTGCTTTATGATGCGCTCATTGGAATTATTGATGCGAACCACTAAGACTGCCTTAGTAATGAAGAACGCGATCCATGCACGCACGACGCGACGCATCTATCTGTTTAATGAGCATGAGTGATTTTGACGCGCTAACATAGCGGACTTCACAGCGCATAGAGTACATGGTAGAAGACAGCGGTGAATTAGCATACCCTGTACCTTGGACATGACAAGTACGCCAGAATATACCCTATACATGTTTGTGAAGCGACGCATTTATTTCCGATGTAGACTCTACCCAGGGGCCTGTTCGTTTTCATCTCCGTCCTTAAGGCCTTTCGGACTTTGCGACTGGACTGATCGTTGAAGGCAGGCTTAACCTCGTTCGGATAAAGCTAGGATTGGAAACAGAGCTCTCCGTGTACTGGGAAAACCAGTCCCACAACCCCCAAAGATTGAAAAATACGTCATAGTGGTGCAGATACATTGTATCAAAGTAGCTCGCCTTTGGTCTTTATTTCCGGTACACGGAGAGCGGAGGTGCTCTTCGACAAAACGCCAGTTTCCACAGGTTACTTCGATCAAATCTCGCTAAACAAGCTTCAACGCAATCACGTCAGAAAAACGATGTTTTCAAGACCAGGCAGTACCTGGCCAAGTTCGTTTTGGTAACGGAGACTCCAGTTTGCCCAAAGAAGCAAAAATTACTGGTTCGGTAAGCACTAGGTAACATTATCTTGTTGGTGCTGTTGCGCTATTGACAAAACGGACCTCTGTGTTGCGCCACCAAATATTACCGTTAATCAAACGGGAACGGAGCCGAACAGGCCCAAAACTACCGTTCTGGAGACCATGCCAACGTGTTCGGCATGTTCACATTCCAATATTCTAGACCCTTAGTACAACGTCAGCAGAGATGTGACATGAGGTGCACTCACACTCGATTGAATCTGTTTCAACGGGACAAAAATAGGTACAGAATGCAATTGTATTATCCTGCATGAAACAATGCGCCATACTTTCCCCGTTTCCTTGAACTCGTCAGGATCTGGTAGCGAGCTGACAGACAGGCGATAATGGCATGGATACTATATTGAAGCGATGTCCGGCCTTTGACAGACCTTACAGGTACAGCATGAGCAAGCATTTTTCTAGAAAGATGTTCTTCATTCATAACTAGCCCCACCACAAAGTGCGCGCGACCACAAAGTGCGCGCGCGGCCTCACCAAAACTACCTTAAAAACGAGGCTATAGAGCCACACCAAATAGATATTATCACGATATATTTTGGTGGTGAGATCAATAGGCTTTAATATA